GGAGGAGCCGCCGGGCCCGGCCGGGCCCTTACGGGCTGCGCTCGGCGCGGTTTTGGTTTTTTTTCCCTAGGAAAATTGCACCAACAATGAGATCCTGCTCTCGCTGGAGCACGTCCGGCCTGGCGGCGGGTACAAGCCCAATTTCATCATGTTCGAGAAGTGCGAGGTGAATGGGAAGAATGCGCACCCCCTCTTCACCTTCCTGAAAGAGGCGCTGCCCTTCCCGCACGACGACCCCTCAGCGCTGATGACCAACCCGCAGTACATCATCTGGTCCCCGGTCTGCCGCAACGACATCTCCTGGAACTTCGAGAAGTTCCTCATCGGCCCCGACGGCGTGCCCTTCAAGCGCTACAGCCGGCATTTCGAAACCATCAAGATCGAAGATGATATTGAATTGCTTCTGCAGAAGGTTCCCAAGAATGTTCTCGAATAAAGCAGAGCGCCGCTGCCTTCGCTGGCCAGCCCCCTCGCTTCCTGCTCGGCTCATTGCGCTCCCGCCCGTTTTTCTTGCGGAGGGCTGCTGCTCTGGCAGAAATCCCAATGTCTCATGCAGATTTTGCTTATGATGGTGCATCTTCCAAATTCTTGAAGTGCACATGATGTTTTCAAAAGCTGCATGTGAATGTTTGGGAAACTATGCCGGGGAAAGCAGTCGTGAGTAACTTACTGTGATTCTCTGAATAAAAAAAAAATAAATGCTTACTTTATTTGAGGCTCTGTCTTGATAAATCAGGGTGAGTTGGGTAAAACACAGCAGCCATGCTACCTGTTCGTCAGCTGGTGTGCGTGCTCACAGGGCCCACCTCAAACTGCTCAAGCATGATAGTACAGTCAGGCTGAAATTGAAAGGCAAACAAACCTAGGGCAGGGTGATGGGCAAACAGCATTTGCGAGCTCTGCAAACAGTGAATCAGTGCTGCGTCCTGCCCTGCGCATAACGAGCTTGGCAGAGCAGGAGGGCTGCACAGAACAGAAATACTCTGCCAAACTGCTTACTGGACCTCGCTCGAGGCTTGTGAGGAAGACAGCGGCCCATGGCCAGGGGGTGATTTTATACTGGCTGATGATCTCCCAGCTTGGCTACCACCAACGGGCCGCGACAGGTTAATAACCCTTCAGGCAGGTAGATGAGCGATTCCTGCAGCCTGTGCTGGCGGAGGGCTTGGGGAAGAAGACCCTGTCGGCCAAGGCCCATCTCGTCATCTGGCCTCCCTTCAGTGGATGCCCAGGGCAGCTGCCATCCCTCCCCTCATCCCAGAGCCTCTGCCCCCTCACTGGCTCAGCTGTCTCCTGGCTCTGTGCCATTTTGCATGGGTGGTAGCCCAACACAGATCTCTACATACTCGTCCAGTCCTACATGAAGCCTGCATCTCCTTTGTGCATCCTGGAATTAGGATTGCTTTCCCCTGGGAAACCATTGAGCCTGTGCCAACTTTCACCTGCTGTCCTTCTGCCCAGTGGCTCAGGTTCTTCTGCGGGTAAATTTGCAATCCGTAAATTCATTACAAGCCACCCCTCACAAAGCCTCATAGCACTGAGTATAAACTTGGTGCTGGACTGAGGAGTATACAGACTAGAAACTCAGGCTTTCAAAGGGAAGGCGTAACACTTCCAAGCATTTGTGCACTGTTTTCGTAATTAAAAACACTCGGGGTTTGAGTTTTTAGGGGTTTTCTTTCCTGTTTGTAGCTTCTCACTTCACCAGTTTGCTGATTGCTTTGTTACTGTACCTACACTCAAGAGTGACTCGAGACGCTGGGGCAAAACCTGCAGCCAGCTCTACCCTGCTCACTGCTACCCTTGAGTCATTGAGCTTTGAACTTGGATTGCACAACCCTCACCGGGCTATTTCTTAACTTCCAGTGCAGCTTTGTGGAAAAAACAGGATGTTTTCAAGTAGCTATTTCAGCTTTGGAGCAGCAACTGCTTGATTTGGGGGATTATTTTTTCAGTTAAATCTACTTCCCTCGTTAAGGCAGGATGTTGAAAAACGTGGAGAGTACAGGGGATCATGGGCAGCAGGAACTCGTTGCATTGAAAAATCTCTTTCTCAACATGAGCTGTGGCACTTCCTCAATCCTGACTGACGAAACTGGAGCCGTTTGAGCGGGGCCTCCTCTGCTTTGCCTGTTCCCTATCAGCCTCCAGCCCCTGCTGTGCCCCACTACTGTGGGGGAGCAGACCGCATCACTTGCTGCTGGTCCCACATCAGCCCTGCCAAAAAGGGTCTCTCGCTGAGCCCGCTGGTCTGAAAGGCATCTTACACCATGCTTATTCAGTGCTAATGGCCAGGGGATTTCTTTACCTTCCGGCTGCCGGGGCTGTGCTAGCAGAAAAACAAAGCAGCAGCTCCAGAACAGATACAGCCATGCCAGCAGTAGTACAGTGACGCGATCCCAGGATGAAAATTAGCCATGCCAGCAGGAAAACGAACGATCCCAGTGTAAGCACAGCCGCAGGAACTCTGCAGAGTAGATAAAAGCCTCCCAGCCATGTTATTCGCCATCACGTTTTAGCATTCCCCAGAGCAGCCGGCTTCTGGAGTAAAGCAGGCTGCAGTGGAAAGGGCAGCCCGGGGGCTGGAAACCTTGGAATACGCGCAGGAGAGCACAGTCCTCATGCGCCCAAATGTTACTTGGTGTTGTGACCGGAGGGGAAGACGATGTTTCACTACAGCTCTATGCTGAGGTCAGACCTGAAGACTCCCAGGTTATTCCTCAGGGATTATAAAATGGCACTACTCTATTTCTGGAATTTCAGAGAGAAACAGGCTGACTCAGTAGGAAACCTTAAAATAAACACTACTGCTTTAGCACACTTGGATGCTTCCGTGGCTTGAGGACGTTGTCCTTTCAACATCTCCCATCTGTCACATCTGCACTCCTACTCTCTTCTGATTTTTTTTCTACTTCTACGCTTTTATTGCAAACAGCTAATTCCTCTGTTAGCGTTCACCCTGCTTTTCCATTCTTCTACATATCAGTCCCATATATTCCCCCCTGTTTACAGCATGTTTGCCTCCGCTTCTCCTCCCTCCCACTGATTCCCTCCTTCCCTTAGCTGCTGATAGCTGCCATCAGCTTTTAAAATATTTAAACAAGTAAAGATATTTGAAGCTGTCAAGAGTGTTAACTAGCTGCAAGCGAAGTTATCCTTCCCACCCCTGTCTCCCTCTCCCGGGTTTCCTGGTGTTCTGCCCACCAAACCCTAACGCATCTCCTGAAATCACGGCTGATGAGACTGGGTGTTCAGAAGTGTCTACTTAACAGAAATGCTGTCAAGCAGAGCCTAAGACCTTTCTTACTCAGCCTGTTAAATGTTCTTTCAGCTATTTAAAATCCCCATCTCCTCCTGCCTGAGCTTTGTTGGACCTGCTAATTTTTAAGACAGCTTTCAGTCACTTTTTGATCATTGCCATCATAAGGCAGGTGGGAAACACCTGCCTCCAGCCTGCTGGCACTTGAAAGGACTTGGCTCCTGTGGGTGCCACTCTGGTAGCGAGCAGCCGTCAGGGCCTGCTGGAGACAAGGGCAGGAAGCTGAAGGGCTGAAAGGAAAGCGCTCGAAGAGACAGGAGAACACAGATGCCCCTATCTTCGGTGGAACTGTAATAATGTAATTTCCTAGTACTGAATCAGAAAGCTTTGAACAAGACCATTTTAATTGTTTATTGCACTTTCTGTTAGTAGGTAATTCATTAGCAGAGTGAGGTCAGCCATGTAAGCATTATCTCAGAATAGCTGACTCATTTTAAAAACACACCCAGTCTTGCTGTAACAGGGCGTATTAGTTTCTTGAAGCCCAAAGGTGCCCTGCCCTTTGAGAAAAACAGGACTAAGTAACAGGACTCAACTCTCACTCACAGAATCACAGAATCGCAAGGGTTGGAAAGGACCTTGGGAGATCCTAGAGCATGTTACACAGGACTTCATCCAGGTGGGCTTTGAGTATCTCCAGAGAAGGAGACTCCACAACCCCCCTGGGCAGCCTGTCTCCATGCTCTGTCTTGCTGGAAGGATGAAATTGTCTTCTTTTTCAGTGTTAACTGGAGGGACTGGACCTGCCCTTTGTCAAAAAAATAAAAGGCCTGTAAGCATTTTACCCAGGAATGCTGCAGCATCGCTGGGCCTGGCTGGCAGAAGGCAGAGCCCACCCGCCCACCACGCTGCCGGACACCGGCTGCCAGGCCAGTGCTCCCGTGCACAGAGTCATGGCCCCAGCACACCACGCCCTGCCTTCTCTGACACGAGGTAAATGGATTTATTTGGTGTATCGGTTTAAAGTGGGTTTTTAAGTCTCTGAATCATCTGAATCCCTCCCGATTTACCCTTCTCGCGAACAGGCCCCCTAAGCAGCACAGTACAGCTACTCCAAAGGAAAACGTTTAAATCATTTCTTGAGAGGTTCTTTCCAGAGACGCTTTCAAATTCCTAAGCGCTTCCCAGCTGGTTACTCAGACCCGTTCTCCCGTTCATTCCCGTAAG